GTAAATCCTGAAAAAAAGATTTTTTCAGATATATTTAAACTTGTACAAAATATATTAGGTCTACCGGAAAGTTCTGTCCGTTTTTGGAATAAAACAAAATACAAATTTTTATTACCGTCAATAAACTTTATTAAATAATGTAATTGCCATTATTATTAATGATTTCTTGCCAGCGTGAGGGCAATTTGTATATCCCTTTTTCGAAAAATGTTTTATCTTTTGATGCGAAAAATTGAACCAGTGCTTGTTTGATATCTTCTTCATTTTTGAATTTTTTGCCCCTCAAAAAATTTTGTAAGGACAAAAACAAGTGATAGTCGGTGGGTGCTAAGTCCGGGGAATATGGTGGATGCGACAGAATTTTCCAGCCTAGTTCTGCAATTTTTTGACGAGTATCCAAAGCAGCATGTGGCCTGGCATTATCATGATGCAGTATGATGTTCTTCCTATTGTACATCGCCGGCCTCTTTTCTTGGACTGCTGTATTTAAATTATCCAGTTGCTGACAATACTTCTCCGAATAATGGCAATTACATTATTTAATAAAGTTTATTGACGGTAATAAAAATTTGTATTTTGTTTTATTCCAAAAACGGACAGAACTTTCCGGTAGACCTGATATAATAAGTATAAGAATTCAATTCTTATATAAATAACGCTGTTCACGATTCGAACAGTTTACGCCGAAATTTAAACAGTAATTGTTATATCAAAACAAGAGCGAATAAATAGCGTCGCGTTCAGCCGATCGTGTTCGTGCGCTGTCCTTCAAGTTGAAAAACTTTGATAAACAACCCGACTCTCGAACGATCTGTGTCAAAAAATCTTTATTGTTGACATCGGAGCGCGAGTCTTCGCAGCCGTTCGAGTTAGTCTGCTTACGACGACGATTCGAGCTGGTCGAAACTCCGACCTCCTTCAATAATTTCATTATTCTCGCTCGTGTCGTGTTCGTTCTAGCTGTACTCGTCTTAATTCTTAACGAAGTATATCGCGTGCTATCGCAGCTCAAATTATAGTATCTTAAAATTTTGTTTGTTACCGTGTTATTATTATTATTAAAATGAATTGTGGAGTTTGAGAGTCGACGATCATTAACCGTATCGCGAATATTCTTTGTCTCGCGCATAAGATCTCCGGCGTTCGCGTTCAAAATTTCATAATTCGCGAGGGCTTCTAGCAAGAAGTTCTTCAAGATATCCGAAACGCGGAAAAAGCAATAATCTGAAGGACACATGAGAAGATTCCCGATAATAATTGCGGAATACGTTTCGTCGCTCGCTCCTAGTGTATCACAATAAAGTTTTCCATAAAATTCAATCTCGTGTATTATCTAAATCCATTCCTCCAGTGAACCTACGGATTCGAAATCTACGCTCGCTTCTCGCTCAAGTCTCAGCATATCTCAGTTTTCGGGCGATCTCGTCGAGGTCGACTCCCGAACAAACGCAGGTAATTGTACGTGTGAATTGTAAACATAATTAAAGTATTTTTTAATATATAATTTGTGTTACTTAATAATGTAAAATAGATAACGAGCAATTAAATTCAAAAATAATAAATAAATTATTTTATGGTTGCTCCACTGTTGCCCGATGCCTTTCCGAGCCTTCTTCTCTCTTTTTTATCCTTTGTTGCTCCATTACTGCTTATTCACAAGCACTCGCGAAAACACGGTTAATTAAGATCGTGCGTGTGCTAATGAACAAAATACGATGATCGATCGTACGGCACTTTTCACGGTATTTCCGATATAGATCGTACACGACACGAACCTTAGGCGTATGTTGCGATTTATATTTTCGATTCGGCGATTCATGTATTACTCTGTTCTCTGAATTTGAAAACGACATATATATGTATATACTTAAATACGCACGAGAAATTCAAAGCGCGATACAAAATGTATTCAACTGTAAATATTTACGTAATATTATAGCTCGTAAATATCGCAATTTATAATTTTTATTTGCTATAAAATCAGCGCTTATAGATTTTTGTTTTAAACGAATATACATTATGCGAAATATATTTTTTTATAAATAGCCGTCGCCGTATTTTAGGTGTCATTTATCGAGAATTAATTAATCGCGCGTAAAGATCAGTCCGCTACACGAAATCTTTAACATACTGGTACAGAATAAATTCGTGTAAAATATTCTATTTCTCGTATCTCTTTGATGTACTGTCGTTTATACACGGTCGCTTTTTTCTTACGGGCATCGTTCCTTTAAAAATGGGCAACAATATTCGTCAATGAAATCTGCCGTTACGTTCCTCGACAAGGTAAATGCGGGTACACCATGGTTTATCCAAAAATAGGTTACTTTTATTACAATGCTCTACGTAAATGCTCGTTATTGTCGTGTCGTTGAGAGACGTAACTTTTATTATCCCATCCCATTCTTCTCCGACGTTGTTTCCCCGCATTTCTATCGCGTCGCGTCGCTCGTTCTAAAAATCGCATAACCCCGAAGCGGTTACGAGATCTCTCGCGATTCTCCCCTTAAACTTCATGGGAGAAATTCCAAAGCTCTCCCGGCACATGAGCATGAATCTCCGTCCCGCGCGCGCGTTGCACCTATAATTCCGCGGAACATATAATACTTTTATCGGTCGCTTTTACGACGCGCTCTCGCGCGTCTACCTTTCGCGATTTTATTATCTGAAGAACCGCGGCATTTTCCCCGATTACCTGGAGTAGGGACGATCGATTCTGAATTTCATGAGTTGTACGCGCCCCCGAATCCGCGTTACTTCTAGATTTTTCGTTGCGAATCCGTCATGTATAACGCGAACTCATTATCAGTCGTATACTTTTGCGATAAAGCCACGCTCTTTAATGTTACACAAATTTTTCTCGATATAAAAAATGATGGATATTTCATTTAATATTGTTGAAAAGTAAGAAAAAATGGACTACACATATTTTTTTTTCGGAAATTTGTACGTCAAATAATTATATATCAGCAGCTCTCTCTCTTTTTTTCTTTCTCTCGGGATTGGATTTGAAAAGGAACTTTGTCGCATTTAGTCGAAATTACGTTCTAAATTAATATCAATGAGTTATTGAGAAAGTATATCGTTTTCCGTTGTCGCAAGAAAATACTACGAAGTGTGCATAAAACTCGAGGAAAATATCAACATGGGAATAAAATGTATGGAGAAATGTAATATACGCAGTATTTCGCAGTATACTGTTTTCCGTCCGTTACCAGAGGGAAATTAAAGCACGGGCACGCGACTTGAAGGAAAAATTCACGATCTCTCTCCCGGATATATCTACAATAAAACACACTCGACACACAATAACTTCTCGACGGCTACTTATCGGTGTGCGGCGGATAAGCTCTCTCTCTCTCTCTCTCTCTCTCTCTCTCTCTCTCTCTCTCCGCGTCCCATTAATAATTTATTTAAACGGGCTGAAGCAAAACGCGCGCGGCAAGGGACGACGTTACCGGAATACGGAATAATATAGCCGTATTCTCGCCTCTCTTATCCCGAAAACGTAGGAGCGTAGAACAGCGTAAATGCAAAGCAGGCACGTGCGCACTTCCGGCGCCCACCCGCATATGTACCCGATCGCACGCAAGGAGGGCTTACGCCGTGCGTGTCTCGGGGCCGGCATTGTAAACAGCTTAAAATAGCATCGACGTTCGGCTTCTCGTTCGTTTAGCGGGTTCGCGCTCTCGAAGCCACGCTCGATTTTCGACGGTCTCTTAAACTCCCTTCTTTCCTTCGCTCGCTTCTATCTCCGTCGATCCGACAAATTTTCAACGTCGACGCGGCGGAGAGTTCGCGTGCTTTTTATCCCCTCGACGACGAGGATGAGGACGAGGACGACGACGACGAGGACGACGACTCCCGGCGTTTCTTCTTCTTTCTTGCCTTTCGGCTCTTTCTTGCTCGTGCTAGTCGTTTTACTGGAGCTCGTAACAAGAGTAATAGCGCCCGTGCTCGTTGTCTGAGCGCCGCGTACAGTCCTCGCGGATTGTTAACCTCAGTGAACTTATTTTTACACGATTTCGTGCCAGCGCCGCTTAAGACGCTGGTAAAGCCAAGGACGAATCCCCGTTTCTCTCGTGCGATGGCCTCGAGAGCTCTTTTCGCGTATCATCAGTATCTTGCCGTAAATAAACTTCGACGAAGAATGAGGAGAGTGTTTAACTCTGTAACGAAGATATCCAGTGGAAGAGAAGTTGACTCGAACATTATGATTTCACATTCAAAGGATCTGTCGTTAAAATTTATGTCAAAATTTCTGGGGCAACGGATATCGTATTACATTAAGCAAAAAAAAAAAATTTTTTTTTTTTTTTTTTTTTAATAAGGAAACGTCGCGCGACATCCAGAAAGAAATTCTCGGATGAAAAATTATAGATGCGCAATATTTTGCAGATAATACCAATCTCTTATAAGAGTTGTAATATTCAAATTTAATTAAACTTAATAACATTTCGCTTTGTAATAAATCCTTGCGGTAACTATTACAAACTGCCAAGTTTCTCGCGCGATTCCGTTGCAATGCGTTGGATCGCGCTATGCATTAGTGTTTCGAGCGAGGGATACCATCCCAAGTATGCGGAAATAGCACAGATATAGATAACAGAAATAAATTAAGTTCATAAACTGCCGAGTAAGGATACGGAAGGGAGGGAGAAGACGAAAAACGAGTTAGGTACGACGCGGATCTAAAAATACTTTATATTCGAGTTGACCGCGTCCTTGTTGCATAAGAAACGATTCTATAAATGCTTCCGGAGATATGTAGAGCAACAGATACTTATACGCGAGCAATAATATCCGCTATTATCACCGTCCATTTGAAACTAAACGCAGCGTAATTTTATTATTTCTATTTTATACCGATATCTCCGATGCGTTTCAATGTTAGACATGCGTGGATTTTTAATTGTTCGAAATCTGAAAATTATGACAAATTTAAATTCTGATTATTTTATAACATCGATTTTGATTATCAATTTTCCGTTTGATTGCAGTTATATTGGAAGGAGTAATTATCAAGGAGCTTCGTGGGAGAGAGTCTCATACAAGGTAAGAAATACAGTATTATAAACGTAATTGTAAATTATTAGAATCAATTCCATCCATTTATTTTACATTCCATGTATACGTGATCTAAATTAATAGTTGTTAATAAAGAATGGACGCACCCCTTAAAAATGTGACATAGCGTTTCTAGAAATACTATGTTATTTTGGAATATTTTAGAGAATAAGCACAGAGAGATATATAAATTTTTTTTTCCGTTTATATTTAATTCTCTTTTTTCATTAAGAAAGATTAGAAATGCATATTTCTCGCGAAGATATAGGAGAGATATTTTGCGGAAATTGAAAGGGTGCGGGAAACATTCAGATTCGTCGTTCCAAGGTAAAAAAAAAGAAAAAAATTGCCATTCGCGAAACGGCGCTCAATCACGCCGTTTATCCGTCAAGCTACGTTCTCTCGCGCAATTCAACACAAAATATATCCCACGGTCATAGTCGTTCCAGCATCTTCCCGCGGGACGCGCGAGCGCGAAGATGCGTCTCCCGGAGAGACTACGAGTGAGAATACGACCGCTCTAAAACCCCGCCGGATTTTCTCGTAAAAACCGCCGTCCCCTTAAAGGTGGGTTCCGGTGGCATTAGCGAAATGTCGACGAGAGCAACGACGACGAACGCGACGACCGTTCTCCCGTTTTAATGTCAATCCTCAAATGTCACGTAACCATCCACTATATCCCGGCGTGTGTCCTTATCGTCTGCGAGCTCCCCGGGGGTGGAGAGCGGCAATAACGTTTCGACACGGCACATCGTGCCCCCCCCCCCTTTCTCTACCTCTCTCAGACATCCCCGACCGCCGTGCGACCCCAAAACTTTCGGTTTCCTCGTCATCGGTTAGCTCGTTATTTCTCACGTGGACGCGGCTCTTCGCCGCTAATTGGATATGTATTTGTACCATGTGTATATTTGTCCCTTGCCCGAACGAAAGACATACGTGTACGCTCTATCGTTCTCTCGTTCTCTGGTCGGTCGCTTATTTGTACGGCATGAAACGGCAGTTTATCTTCTCATCGGACAATATTTCTGACAGTCGCGGGCAGTCTGAAATATATCGTATCATTAAATCACAATTTTTTTTTTGGCTATCTCTCCGCCCTCTCCTCCGGTAAATTGCATTTACTCCGATAAAATCAATACATCCAACGTTATACAGTTTTGATAAAAACTTGATAAGATAATAGAATATAGCTCTCGTTATTTCGTTATATTTATTATAATAAATTTTATTATAATCGATTTTTTTTTTATTATGTTTAAGTCTGTGTTTGAATTATTAAAATAGATATATTATAACAAATTTTATTTTGATAAAATATACATTTTTCTATTTTAAATTAAGAATATTTTGTAAATTAATTTAAGAAAATAGATCGTTCATGTCACTGCTTTGCAATGCACATGAAATTCACATAAATGATTTGAATTTTATCGTGTTTTAGTGAAATAATGCACAAAATACGTCGACACGTAAACGAAATGTCAAAGGTACGATTAGTATTGGCGCATACGTGTACGCGGCATAATTTGCCGCGAAATTCCACAAATATACGATAGACATTTTCACAATTATCACTCGACTATTACTATTCACGTGTTCTGCATATCGCTCGTACATTTGCGCTGCGCCGCCCTTTTCTATTTACGTATATATACCGCCGTACGGGAATAGCTTTCTGATTCTCACGTGTACGCAATCTGCAGTGAACCTATTGCAGTTGGAAAGTTATATTTGTCCGGAATTGTAGCTGCGCGCCTCCACTTGTTTTCAAACAGACTCTTTCGGCTGGAAACTAACATCTGCTTTTTTTTTTTCTTTTATCATTTTAACGATCTCGCGTGATGCATCGCCATTGATTTTAAAAGAATAGGGAATAATTTAAATAGTCGTTGTTTTTATCTCATTGCCTGAAATATTTAGATTTCACGAAATAATTATGACGCTGGAGATGTGAATTAACGTTTTGAAAATTTTACCACTGTAAATGAAAATGTTTGATAAAGACGCGCATTATTATCTTTCACTCTCTTAGAGATATGATCTTGATTGAAAATGGAATTTTTCCTCTTGGTTATGTCGGTCTCACAATCAACCTGGATATAAATGTACGGTAAAATGCCCGATATTGTGGGGAAATGGGCGGTTTGTTTAGTAAACAAGATATGAAAGTCCGTACGAGTAACAATTCAAACCCGTTTCGAATAAACAGTTTCTCTGGACGTGACAGCTTATGCACGGGCACGTGCAACTGCGAACGCGTCCGCGTGCGTGTACACGCGTAACCGTGTGTAATTGAAACGCTGAGAATGATATAGAGACCTTTCTATATCGTCATATACGGGAATAAGTTTGCTCGTGCAGAGGTAACGTCGTCTGACATTTAATCGAATAAATAAATCTCTGAAAAGCCCTTTGTATTAAAGATCCTTCGAAAAAAAAGAAACTTTTGTAAAAGAGATAAAAAATACGTTTCCAGAGATTGATCTTTTTTTTTTTTTTTAAACTATAATATATCTATTTTACACGCGTATAAAGTTGTACTTATATAATATATATTTATACTGTAGACAATTCCTTATAAAAGATAATTAATAATTATACGTTTACTCCATTCCCTCTTTCTTTTTTATTTCGAATTGTTTGGCAAACGATAAGTTTTCCCCAGTTCTTAACTTGTTGGTTTGCTTTTCGTTCAAACATCAGTCGGTCGTAGAAGCTTCTTTTATCGCATTGCAAAGTTTACCTTTGCAACCATGATGACGACCCATCGGTGGCTTACAGGAACACCGCTATATGCGAATTCGAGTTTCCGTCGCTATCTGCGAGGAAAGCGATGCCATGCACGCGGTTTGCCGCAGACTCGATACGCACATTCAACGACTCCGAACTGCAATTACTAGCGACCATCTTCGAGCCGCGACTCCGCATAGTTATACCGCTGTTATGCGAAATTTCCAGTTAATCCGACGACTTCCGCGAACGATCGGAAGTGGATATAATACACGCCGCGAGAATCCTGCTCGGCAAACAAGATCGAAATTACCTTCTGTGATCATTGCCGCGCTTTATCGCGACTGATACGATGGAGGGATATCGGCGAATAAAAATTGAAATTGAGTGTCAAGATGGGAGTATGAGAGGGGGGATACTTTATTGTTAATACGAGTAGAGCTAAGTAGCTAAGTGTAGAGGTAAATTGAATTTGTCTTTGCCTGATTATAGAATATTTATGTGTTTTTATTTGCGTTTTATTGACTGTTATACGAACAGGTGTCGTTCTCTTCGCGAAAGAAATTTTTTCCACTAAAATTTACTTGAAAAATCTAGAATAAAATATACGATAGAATCGTAGATTAAAGCACGTTGAAATGTGCGTACGATATTTTTACGCGTAGAAAAAGGAAACTACTGGATTGAGTAACATTACGAAATCTCACAAGCGGAATTCCCGAGGTACGCGATGTTCGAAGATAAATCGCACAGTCGTACCGGCCGTTAAGCGCGAAATAGACCGACGTAAAGCGGCAATGATTTTCAGGCACGTTCGCAAAACCGTCGCAGTTTACGGCCGTCACGGCCAGATGGATTTATTAAAAGCGAAACGTTCAATGCACGACCGGGTACGCCATCGAAACATTTCGATCCGAGATGGATTTAGTCGGCGGATATCCCTTCGCGCGGGCGTTCCGCAAACCGGGCCTAAATTTGGAACCGATTGACGCACGGCCAAATTTTACACCGGTCGGCTTCTGAGTTCCGTCGCGGCCGTCGCTGCATCGTGATCGATTTTCCCAACAGCCGAACACCTGGTTCTTGTATCGACTATTCTCTTCCTCTCTCTCTCGGGAAGAGGAGAGAGAGAGAGGAAGAGGGAGTATTATTCCGTTGGTAAAGATAGATGTTTGAAGCCAGGAGAAGGCGAGGGAGATGTATGTACACTTGTACACAGTACTGTGACTGGACATTTTGTTGCCTGAAGCCAAATACATTATTTAGGAAATAATGAAAAATATATCAATAAATCACTTTCATGATTTAATCATCTCATTTGAAGATTTCATTATCTAGATATCTATATTTTAAATATAAAAATTAAATATATGTACATTGAAGAAATAATGCGCGATGTATAAATTAAAATAAAAAAAGAAAATCTTATAAATCGCGTCACATATTTATCAAAGAATTTGTTTTAAAATGTCGAGGTTTCTTTTGCGCGTATACAATTTATTTCGTGTACCTTAAATTTTTATCTCTTCTAAAATTTTGACGTCTCGATTACAGTACTGCTTATATATAGGATGGTACAGGAAAGAATAGCTCGATCGAGTTATCTTTCCTAACCGAAAGAAATACGACAAGCGCACCTGTCGGAAAAACATTGTTGATGTCCCCATCCTTTGTTCCGCCAGCGATAATTTATGATGGGTTAATTGAAACGCGCTTGAGTGTTAATGATGCGGATTTTACATCACGCGAAACATTATCGACTAGTGAAGGACGAATTTTATCCTCGCTCGAGTTAAAATGATTGATTAATATAGCATGTCATTTAAAATATGGCTCAACATCATCGGAAGCTTTTGGATTTGTAAAAAAGTAAAATATAAAAATCTATAAAAAAACTATCGACAAAACTAGATGTTGGAAGAAGTCAAGAGAAAAAAAAAAAATCAAAGAAATTTTTCAGAGATGCTTAAGTTAAAGAAGACACAAATAGGATTAAGAGATTCGCAGACTCTTAGCGCGAAATGCTGCTCTTAATATGAAAAATAGCTCTTACTACAGTCCAGGAAAATATAAAATATCTTGAAATTGCCTGTTTTAAAAATTCAGGCAATCTCAACGTGTTATTTTTACGTGGCACGATTTCAACGCGATTGTTTTTTGAAGATAAAAGATTCAAAAGCAAGAAAAGAAGAGAAGCAAATAATGGCAGGGAAATTACGAACGGAATCGTGGTAGAGCCTGCCAACTTCCCGTAGACTTATGGACACCCTGGTTTTGTCAATAGCGGAATACCATCGTCGTACTAGATGTCTGCGGCCAAACGCGAAATTTTATACTCAAGAGAACGAAAAAGAGAAACAAGCCAAATAAAAAGCCCAAGCCTGTGATTTTCTTCATCTTTTGAGAATTCTAAGAAAGAAAATTCATGTCTAGCAAACGATGATTGTAGCATATAATCGCGATTTCCCTCACATCCATTACATATGTTTCTTTACATTTACAAAGAGCAATCTTTCATCTTGCAATTTCTGCTGAGAGCTATTTCTTTTAATATATTTCTATGTTGTATCTTTAATAATTTCGAAAGATTTGTGCATCTTAAAATATAATCAATATACATATTATTCGCTATATAAAATCACTTGAGCTTTTTCATAGAAAACTTTTCGAAATTATAAACGAAAAGATAAATCAATTATTAATTATATAGTGAATTTATCAGATTGCGAAAATACTATCGAAAAATATATTCAGAAAATATTATATTTCTTTGACTTTTGACATATATTCAAAAACTATTTTGATAACGTTCGCTGATATTGAAATACGAACAGCTAATTTGCACAATTTTATTCATCCGCCACTGTTTTCCTAGAACGATGTACCGTTTATTAGGAATGCAAACATTACGTAACGATAAGTTTGTGCCGTCACGTATGCG